TGTGGCCGTTGATAAGAACGCCGAGGTCGCTAGTTCGCCATCTCGCGTTGCACTTAGGCCACGGCATCGGGTCACGGCTTCGTCGGCTTGTTCCTCTGTTTCTGTGTTGCGTCGTCAGGTCACTTTTGGTAAGTGAAGTTTTGTCGTCAGGACTTTGCCTGGTTGGCATGTTGTTCGTAAAGCTCCGTCGCGGCGTCGCGTCAGCGGGGATCTTCGGTAGTTCGTTGCACAGCAACCGCACCTCCATCGGTTGCTGCCCTTAGTTTCCCAGATACGGGCTAGGAGACCGGCCTCGCATTGGGCCAGAGTACTGCCAGTGGTTCGGTGACATGCGGGGGCTGGGCGATGGCGAAAGTGAAGGACGTCGTGGTGTCCGTTGAGTTTCTGTCAGGTAGTCAGTGATATCACGTGGCCGTTACCCTGGCTGCGGACGTCGTGCCTTGACGGCGAAGCTACGCAGTCCCATCTGTCACTACTGACAACGGCGGTATGTGTGCCCGACCTCGCAGCAATGGTAGCAGAGCGGGCGGTTGTCAGGTGCATGCCAATCGTCGGTTTTCCTCGGCGCTTTGCGCTGGCCCGCTGGCAAACGGTAGGACGTCGGTGGCGGCGGTGATCTCTGACGAAGGAATTGCGATGAGGTGGCGTTGTGGCGTGGATGGGGAGGAGCGTTGTAGGGCATGGCAGTGGCGTAGCTTACAGCTTCCGGCTCGCGCAGCGGTGCTTGAGGAAAATTTGAATTGCTGTACAAGCTTCAAGGAAAACAAGGGAGACAGGAAAGAGCTCAGCTTATCAAAGCGTACTTTATTAGGCAATATAATGACAAGTGCATAAGCATGCCTTCAATTTCACTTTCGGACAGGGAAATGGTCTTCCTACATGGTCATGTGTAATGTTGTGGCTAACGCCTTGCGCTGTTTCTCTTTCATTTCTCTTCTTTTCTTTTGTTCATTATTGTTCTTGTTTTATTTCCCATGTGACGCTACGTAATGTTTTCTAAATTTTTATGGTAATATAGTTTTTGACTCTCTCGGCTCACTGCTTCTTCGGGTTGCTCAATTGGGACTGTTTGGAATGAATATAAAATTGGTATTTTATTGTTGTATTCGCTACTGAGCGCTATTTTTGGCGTTTTTAAACAAAAGTTTCTGGAGTACGTTTCCATTTTTTCATGTCTTTGTTGATGCTTGAAGCAATAAATAAATAAAAGATAAATTTTAAAAAAATATGAGCGCACACCTCAGGAATGCGAACTTTAGATTGTGGTGGGTATCACTTTTGTATCTTGCCATTTTATCACTTTTGTCATTGTGGTAGCAGTCAATTTCGATTTGATTTCTTTTGGGTCGGCTCTGTTTGTGGCATCTTTGGTTTTTGTGCGCATCGTGGAAGCGCAGCGTAGCATGCGTATATATTGGCTTCAAGAAACGACAATAAACAGTTGGTAGTCGGCGCTCTTTCCTGTCTCTCTTGTTTTCCTTCAAGTTTGTGCAGCAATTCAATTTTTCAAGTATGAACCAACTAGTCTGCAAAGAAGTATTGTGCTTTAGAAGTTCGAAGCGATTGCCGAAATTCTCGCACAATGTCGGCGATCAGATCCACTTGAGGCTGTGCTGAAGGCAACAGCTTGCGCAGCTCTTCCTGCACGATCGCTCGGATCGTTTCACGCAGGTCTTCGGAGTCAATGGCTTGAGCAGCAGCGCAGTCTGCAAACTGTCTAGTGCTCATGTTCAAGGTCCTTTTGATAGTGGTCGCTTCGGCTACAAATTCTTGAACGATGTTCAGTGGATTTCTCATCAGTCCCGCGAAGAGCTCCTGTTTGACCCCTCACACGAGGAAATGAACTTTCTTATCCTCAGGCATGTCTGGGTCAGCACAACGAATTAGACGGGTCATTTCTTATGTGAAAACGGCATTTTCGTTTGGTAGCTAAACCAGGTTCTCTAGTAAACCAGCGGCCCTTTTTTTGCGAGCGACGCTTGCGAACGTTTGCAGGAACGCGCTGCCGAAGACCCCCCCACGTTTGAAGAGCGGACTCGCGATTTTCGAGCCAGGTCCTTGGGGTGTCTTGCACATAGAAGTACACACAGCGGAGCTTTTCTTCATTGTACCAGTGGTTGACGGCGGCCACACAATTGTATGTTTCTAGCCAGGTCTCTGAGTCTTCAAACAATGACCCACGGAAAGTTGGTGGTTGCCTGGGTTGATGCATGACGATCGCGGGCTGGGACGCTCCAGTTGTCATTGTCGCTGCAGTCAAGGACATGGCTTTGGTCTTCCTCGCCTTGTCTTGTAGAAGCCCGAACTCCGGTGGTAGCCCTCTGCTGTCGGTGGCTTGTTCACTGCTTTTGGTTGGCGTCAGTGTCTTCTCCGCGACGTGGGCTGGGTTCACGACTTGACGGGGACGTCCGGTACATGAACGAAGCAGCACCTCCACCAAATGTCAAGGGGTCGGGACGTGGGCGATGACAGGAGACTTTATGTTGGGATTAAACTGTTTATTTGGGCGAACCTGTGCCCGGTAAACGGAAACTCTTATTACAGTCGCAGTCTTGCACAGATAGCATTGAACAGAGCATCGGCCGTCGATCACTCACAAGTGGCGATGCATGTCAGCATTTACACACTCGCCATAAAACATTCTAGTGTTATCGCTTGCGGCGACGTTGTTTATAGAATAATTGAAAGATCCACGAAGTGGGCGTAATCTTATAATGATCAGCCTAGAAGCTTTTCTAACAATGTAGGCGTGGTTTGCACTCAACAAGTGCAACATGGCGATAAGAAAACATGGCGATAAGAAAATATGTTTACAAATTCTGTAGCCATGTTATTTTGTGTAAGACATGACGCAAAATTACTCCAATCTATTGAAGGAAAATCGAAATCACCAAATGATAAGACGGGAGTGTTGGGATACGTCGTTGTTAGTTCTAACAAAGCTTCGTGAAAAGACGAAAGAAAGGAGCTATCGGCGCTTGGTGGACGGTAGCAACAGCCGATTGACATGCGCAGTGAAGTGGCGTGGCAGCACGTCCAAACAAAAATCCAGAGAATTTTTTACAGTTACAGCAGAGCACTTAAGCGAACTATGTGTGGCAATCACCACACCGCCCCCACGGTTATCATCAAAGCGGTCCTGGCGAAAGACGTCAAAATCTGGCAGATCAGGAAGAATCTCGGAATCAAGTACGTTAGAGGTTAGCCACGTTTCCGTCAACAGAATGTCGTTGCTAGGAGAAGAAGAGATCAAGGTGCACAACTGATCACGTTTTGGCATCAGGCTGCAAATGTTAGTGTAAAGCACCGAGCGATCATGCTTAACACTCTGATTCGGCCTTCGTGGTCTTTGCGCTCGTTGCTAGGCCTGATGTTCAACAACCAACTGCTTAGCCTGATCAAAAACGTATGTTTTACAGCCACAGATGAGCTTGTCATAACGGAGCTTAAACAGGGAGTGCTGCGCTTTTCTGAATTTGATAAGGCGTCTTCTGGCTACTCGAATTTCCGGGCAAAGCCTTCACTGATGCCGTGATCTGTGCCTTTAAGTTTACTTCTAGACGAAAGGAGTGCTTCTTCTTCCAAATTTTACTATTATCGGTCGCCGTTTCCCCTCGCGATAAGCTCCGTGTCCATGGGCACGTTCTATGTCGCGCCTTTGAATAGTTATGCGCAGGCTTTTGTGACAGAGATCAATAATCAGTTCTTCACTAACACGCCACGCCTCGTTTCGCTCATCACTGAACCCGTAAAAGATCAGGTTGCACCTTCGGGATGTGCTTTCCGTGTGGCTGATCCGGTTAGACAGCCTAGTTACCTGAGCAGCGCTGTTAGTGGCAACACTTTCAATGATATCAATTTGAGACTGAACTTTTGAAAGTGATAGTAAGTCAGATTCGATTTTGTGTAATAGACGCTATCTGTTAGTGTGTAAACTTTACTTAGTATAGGACAATGCTTACATGATTTCGCAAGTGCTTGACAAGAACCACCTTAGGGTATATATGTACATAGTCTTTTTTTTTTGAAATCGATGAAGAAGTCGACAGGCATACATTGAGAATGTACGTGTGTTCAAAGAACACCTTCTTTGCTTTTGACAGCGTGAAAGCACAAATGTTTTGTGCGAACAGCTTTATTATAGCGGTAGGATTTCTTTTTTACCTAGCTGATGCACAGGCACAGGTACCAGAGCACTCACGTGGTGCGGAATGATGACCTTCTCTTTAGCATTTACGAACATACCAGCTCCTACGCGGGGCGTTTAAGCAGGTTTTCAAATAACTAAACTGAAAACCATATTAAGTGGGACGCCGTTCAGCAGAGTGTGTCGATAGCCATTGTAAGCGTACTCTATGCGCATCGGCTTCTGAATAAAGGGGATATGGATAACATTGGCCTGCGATAGTACGCTGTATGTTCTACCAAAAGTTGCTGCCACAATGGCATGCTGGATGTTCCACCGAAAGTGAACCGTTGCTTTACATGGTCGGCGCCTTAAAGGAGCTAAGGCATACCAGCTGTTGTAATTGCGTGAAAGGCAGATGGTGTGTGTATGTGTTTGTCTGAAAGGAGAGAGAGTCGCAGGTAGTGAGCACCTTGACCACTTGAGGAATATTCAGACGGGGTCTACTTTGTCGTGAGTGCCACCAGAGCTTGAAAGCTCAGCTTATGCTGTGAGAATTATTAAACCAAAAGACGGTATTCTTCTCGGTCTCACACACATAGACGCTTAATTATTGCCATATTTACCATAGAAGGAGGCGGGCGGATTTGGAAGCTTATGGTACATCATTATCAATCAATGGGACAGCAGCACAAGCACAGCACCAATAAAATTGAACAAACGTAACGCAACATCTTCAATATTTTAGGCAAAACTGGAAAGTTACTTGAATGCATCCTAAATTGATACAGTTTGAGGTAACAATGAATGGTACCAATATTTTTGACTAAACATTCCTCACTGTTCTCTATATTGCTTCTGTCCCCACCAGAAGGACATTCGCAACGAGAAGATGGAAGGGCTGCTCTAGAAAGAGACCCAAGTCTTCGTGGAAGTGGAGGTCGACCTATGACTCGCTTCCGCTTTCAACGTATGTGTACTGTTTTTATTGTGTCTGACATTGTAACCTTGAAAAAGGACCGTGTGTACATACTTGGTCCGAAATCACTGCAGTGATAACAGCTGAATATCAGTGCGTGGGCAAATCACTTTATTTTCAATAGTGGCACAACCGAGTGAGTTCTTTTCTCAATCATGCGGGACGGAAATGTCATGTGTCACACGGTTGCACAAAGCTCTCCATATTACGCAATGACATTGTGGAATCGTCGCAATGCGATCGTTTTCCACAGTATAAATGTATTGTGTTTGTATATTTAATTGATGAATTGATTATCAAAAGTACAATTAAATTTGTTATTTCGTTTATTTCTACTGGTACCCTCAGCACCCCACGCATTACAATAGGGGGCGCAAGCATGTATATTAGTCAATAGTACCATTTCTTGCTATAAAATACTTAGTCAAAAAAGAGAAGTGCAGCAGTAGTATGTTGCAATACAATACACCTTAACACATTCGAATAAATATTTGCCGGCATTTAGGTGCCTTAACACAGCGTTACAGACACATTGTTCCATTCGAAATAACTAAAGTAGACAGTAAATGAGCCTCTGCATAGGAGGAATACAGAAATACAACCTCAGTATTATGTCCACGGTTTTCTCTTAGGCAACCTACACCGGGAGGCATTGCCACGTGCACTTCGTTGGGTCGAACGTTCATGAGAACGTTAGCCAGCGCTACGCCTTGCAGAGGTGGTGATTGTCCCACACTAGCATGCAGTAGACAGCCGACAGTAGGCCTTGCTCTGTAACTGAAAGAGCGTCGTTTGTGGGTAGCACCCCAAAGCCGTGCCCCCCGTCCCCCACAACTTTTCTTTGGATGCGAAACGCCTTGCTGCTTATGGTCGAGATCAATGAGGTGTGTGGCATGACCACTCTTACGGGCATGCGGGCTCCTCCCTCACTCTCCTCTGCTATGCCTCCCCTTCTTTAACCTAACTAGTTTCTTGATTGAAAAAAAAAACGACTTATCGCGCTGCACAAACACAAACGTTTACTGGCCACCCCGTATATTACAAATTCGGTATCACGAGACCTGAAAAGTCTGCCATACGCACTATAATATCATAACCTCCAAGGTTGTGCCGGTGGCAGATTTTGCCTGTGCGTGATTGAACATTAAAAATTCGCATCTTGTGCATTAACATGAAGAGACGCGGGTCTCTATCTACAATAGCTGTATTCTATCTCTCGTTGCCTATTAGCAGCGATTGACATGTTTCAGTAGGAAACATCGGCACATCACTACACGTTTTGCGCCTGCGCACGTTTCACTCGAGTGCAACGCTTCGGTGAGCGCCAGCGTCAACGCCTCTGCCAGTGTAAGCGTTAGCCTCCACTGCTTCACACATACACATGGTTCCCTTTAGCGAGACTATGGTGTAATTTTTAGCCATGCATACATAACGTAAAAGGAACCATTCATTTGCCCCTCCCCCCCGAAGAAACCTTCTGCATAGAACCCTTTCAGGAACAATACTCATGCATAGATTTCTGAATCAAGGCGCGAAACAAGCATCCTATTCCTCTGAACTTTTTTTTTTCGCCTGATTGCAACTATTTTCATTCCGTTGACTTGTCTGAGTATGTTTTGTAGTTTAATTCAATACTTTCATACTCAGACTGATCAAGTGCAATCACCTGCGAAATATTTGATGTTGCTTTCAATGATTTCTTTTGAAATTGTCGATCCGTTTATATAACAGTTTGCATTGTTCTTGCTTTCACATTGTGAGCACATCTTTAAAGTGGTTTATAATACCTATACGTGTACATGAGTTAGTTTGTCTGTCAAAGTAATCTTGTAATCGGTAATAAATCAACAAGGCTAATATTGCGAGCAGATTTTTCTTTTTATTGTTGGTATACGCACTGTTGTTATAACATTGTGATTTGTAAAGCTCTTTAGCAGCAATGTCGTCTTCAGTACATTTCTGTGCGGACGGTGGGAGTAACATTTTACTTCAGATATGTTTTGCGAATAAGAAGTGTAGAAGAAAAACCTAGGAGGAGCAGGGGGCATACCCTGTCTTCTGTGATCTTACGACAGCGTTTAAGTATATATGACATAGCGATATAGACGTACCTTCTATTTTATTTAGAGTTTTTATATATTGCTACCAATCTTGCAGCACCACGTTTGTATCTTCGAATTGCCAATGCACCCCCGGCCCCACCCCCGGCCCCACCCCCGAATCCCCCCAGAGGCCGTAAGTATAACAGAACTACAGAAGTCAGAAAAAAAATTAATTTCCAAGCCTTGTGGTTAAGCCATCTAGAATGACGTAGTCCTCTTTTTAGCATCCCGTAGAAAAGCCGCCTCGTCAATCAGTGGAACATTCAGTCGTGTTCGGATTGAAATGCAATTACCGAAACAATAAAAAACGTTGCAGTTGGGCAATACACCACTAGATATAAATAGAAGTATAAGCTTATCCATCCAGCTGTATGACTCGCGCGAAGTGAGGACTCCCACATATTTGCGTATATTACAGATTGATGCACCAGACAGCTGCCAGAGTTACGCATGCTCACTCGTACTAAACATAGTTACACCGCCTTTGGAGATTCAACGCCACGTTTTACTTCAGTGTCAGCCCCAGCACATCATTCAGGCACCAATACTTTTCTCGAATATTTTTGTTTTGGCGGGCTATTGCAAATAATATGCGTGGTTACCGCGTTCAAAAAATGTCATCAGAGACTGATTGACAAGCGTTTCTTGGAGACTTGTTTGCAAACAGAAACACACGGTAATATTCATACAGTTCTAGTTATAAGCGGCGATTCCTCATAACTAAATACTATAGTTCTCCCTGCCGAACAATTCTAAAATTTTATTCATTATATATCAAATCTGTTAAGTTTGCAATCACTCGCTATGACAGTAAAGTACTAATACACATAGTTTCGCGCAAGTAGCCATGATACGGTCCATCTCTACACGTGCGTTTACAGTTCCTCTTGTGAGCCGTCATGAAAAACATCCTTCTGCCTTGCAATATTGTAACCCTCGTAAATAAAAGTGAACTATGTCTCCACAGCAGTAGGTAAATGTTTGCTGTACAGGACTTGCAGAACGCCTATTGATGTTTGGGAGCCACAGTACAGCTTGACGTGTGAGCATCCACGTTAACGCCTGAAGGACAATTTCCTCCCTCGAGTTAGAGGTCATAATAGTCACTCAACCATTGTGGTAATTGATATAGTGAACAGAAACCTAGAGACACCATGGTATCAGTGACGTGCTAATATGGCGTCAACAAGTAGAAAATAGGCACTGGTACTTATATGTCCGTTATTTAAAGCGGTATCAATTAACGGGGATGCGCACAAGTGCACATGACGGTGATTAAGACCGATATTACTTTTGGTGAAGAAAGTATGATAGGCATTTATCATCAAAAAGAATGCTTCTATTAATTTGCGGCTCTCCGCATTAGTTTTCCTGCAGGGCTATCTTCGACATGCGCAGTTGTAACTTGTAACCTGTTAATACGCAGGAGTTCTCGCATATTCATTTTGTTGATTATGTTTGCTTTTCACTGTGTTCCCAATGTTATGTCATGCATGCGCATCAATATATCTATTTAAATTCGGTTGGTTTGACCACAATAAGGTACTGTCAGTAGCACATGACATCTGTCCTCTCTTGTTTTGTGCTCATCAGTTTTGCAGCTTATTCTTTGAGTGCGCATTCCATTATTTTTCTTATCTAAACCTGTGCTCATACAATAAAGAACGCGAAAGACCGGCTTTGCAGCTTTATGCGCGAAAGCGGGTTTGTGTTTAATTGCCCACTGGAATTTTCCGTTCATACCGCAGTGCTCATTTCACTCACATTGTTTCGGGGAGGTCATCGTCCTAGTGCGCCACGAATTGCAGCGTTAGCACTAGTTGCCTTAGTCTCACTCGAAGCAGTAGGCCGTAACAAAACACAATTGGCGTATGTGCAAGCTTCACTTCTTTGACGAGGCATCACACGTTAAGACGACGCGGAAGGTCAAGCGCGCTCTGAGTAAACAGCCAAGGCTGCTAATATGTTTAGCGCACGTGCGTCAGTGAGCCAAATAACGACGCTAGCTGCACCGCACTAACTCTATAGCTTACTTCAACAATGAACCGAGAGCCCCCGTGAGCTGAAACTACTTAAACGCTTGCCAGGCCAGCTTGTTCTATCACGATGCAGGCCTTCATTTTAATTCTCCCGGGGCGCACTTTTTTATCCTGCTTGCTTGAGTCGCTCTCAAAACGACGACCCGGGGTAGATATAGCAATATATGACACGCGTGTGATGCTTCTTGCGTATGTGTCAGTAGCACATTGAGCAATACAGAGAATTGCAGTCGAGTCGGTGCCGAAGCAGTGCCTGGTACCAAGTGGTAAAATGTACAGGGGGCTTTACAGCAGAACTAGAGCAACCGGCAGTTTTCTCGTACAACCAGAGATCCTGCGTTCGAATAAGAGACCACAAATAGAAAAAAATTCTTGCTGCTTTTTTTCCCATCTCTTTTAAATGCATCGATGCCACTCCCGTGAAAGGAATAATGTCAGTGAAGGCTTCGTTGAACGCGGATAAAAAAACCTTCGTGTTTAAATTGTACTGTGGTTCACATATGCTACTCTGTTTTTTTTTTCTCAGTGAATATTTCATGTCTGAATCATGTCCTTCCAGGAAATTTGCTCGGTGCCATAAATCGTCAATTACGACGACTTAATATCCAAAGACCAGGTACGTATTATGCATTGACACAAGCCTAAAACATGACATCATTATTTCTAACTCTTGAAAATTTGCAGTTCACACGATTGAGTGCTAAAAGTGCAATGTAGAAAGCAATGGTTAAGTTTTGATCAAGTAGCTATTATGATTTTCGGTGTTCTGTATACTTGCAGTCTTATAAATAGACCCCATATTTCAGGCTACTGTCTATTTTGTCTCTTGTGCACCGAACGGCCCGTCTTGATAAGCGTCTGTGATCATTATTTAGTGGATAAAAAGGCTATTATGGTACTCTTCATCTGGTTCTAGAAAAAGGTTGTTATTTACAGAAAGGTTCTTATCGCCTGAGTGATAGTGTGCTCTAGCCTGCTACTCTACACTGAGGGAGACAAAAGGAAAGGGGACAGGCTAATAGATGATGGCAGAGAGCTAAGGAAATGATCGCATACAGTCTCGTCATGTTTTCGCAGTGCTATAGCCGCTCATCCAATCAAGTCACACGTAGGAAAGCTAAGACTGCTTTTACGACCATAATTGCGCCGTCGGCGTCAGGCCAGCAAAACCTCATCAGTTCATGGACGTGTTACAATATGGTTGGCTAGATGAAATAAGTCCTCGGTCGTTTACGTGCATGTGTTGGGCAGCTTTAAAATATATGGTCAAGTGTTCCCGACACTTTCCAGTAATCACAATCGAGACCAGTGTCACCGCTGCTGATGAGATGTGCGCAGTGTCTTGTGTTAGGCCGCACCTAGAAAAACACGAAGGATTGTACATGCGACGTTTCACTTAAAACGATAAGGCATGCGAAGTTTTATCTTTTAGTCGAATTCGTGCAATCGCTGATCTCACCCCTCAAGCATGAACCAGGGGCCAAGTTTCGAACTACAGAACAAAGCAGGGCGTTCATGTCTGGTCGAGAAAACGCAATGGGCACTTCAGGGCCACTGCTGAAGGCGCTTTTAGTTTCAGCACCCACCACTTCAAGGCCCACCGCGCCGTAGTGGCTATATTTCACTAAAATGTGATCAGGTGGGACGTTTGTAGGAGCAAAGTAAAGCAGCTCTGCAATTTCTATAGCTCATTGTAATACAGGCGATGTCTCCTTACGCAAATATTTCTTTTTGCAAAACGGCTTTGGCAACACGGAATATTGTCCACTCCAAAGCTTTCTCTCAAAAATTGAACCTGATAGCCTCTTGGATAGCAACCAGCTCGGTGACAGTTGATCTCGTCACATGGTCTGCTTCGAACCACCTGGCAATATAGAACAATGAGATGACGATTTTTGGAGAATAGCTAAACAGCGTAATCGATTTATCGGTGTACACGTAAACAGAGCCCCCTTAAGTAGTAAAAATGCGATGTGGTGTCCGTTATTTCAGGCCAAATTATCACACTATCGCGTATGAATGACTAATTTTCTTTTAATATCGCCCAACGTATGACCGCTATAGGGCACCTAGTTTTACTGTTAGTTTCAGCTTCAGATCAATGTTCATGTTACAGGAAATTATAATGTTCGGTTCTCCAAAAAAAAATCACTAGGAGCAGTGAACTTGAACGCGACCGCAAGCATACGCCATGAGGCTGACATGGCGCGAGCATTTGAAGAATGCGAAACAATGTACAGCCGTCGGGCGAAAAGAGAGTGAACAACATCAAAACAAAAAACAAGATTGGTTGATAATGTAATATAGACACAAATGAAATGTGTCCTTACAGAAGAAGTTGAATGTTTACTGCATGCTGATATAAGAGACTTCTGCTATATTGAGCGTCTGACGTGATGCCGACGGAGGTAAAAACGCCCGGAGCTCCGGCTGTAGCAGAAGAAACGGATACCCAGACGCACGCCTATGGAACTCTTTTATTGTGTACAGGCATTATACACACGGGCTGTGCGGCACTTAGGGGCCAGAGAATTACTTGGTTCCCGAACCGGAACCAAAAACAGGATACCGCATCCCTTCCCCTTAGAATGAAAGGTACTTGTTGGGGCTCTAACATCATTATATAGTACTGAAAGGAGAGCTCCAGTGCATTTTTGACTATTATGAAATAATAGCGCTTTCAAATAGCATTTACAGTCCGGCAAAAGCTGGGGTGAACAATATTGCACATCCGCTCGTCAATAATTTTATTAAGCATGAACGACGAATGAGAGCGGAAATCAAAACAGGGAGCTGCTCCGTCCTCAATGGCGGGTATCCGATGACATCGCGAAGTTCGTATCTGATGACGTCACGAAATCGACTACACACCACTGGCCAGAGTGTAAAGAATAGGTCGCGTTCATCTTCCGACGTGCAAAAAGCAAGCTGGCTAATGTGACCTGATGCGTAATGAAGTTGTGCCAGCTCGCCTTAACTTACCAGTGACAAGATTCAGCGATCATTGCAGCTACTATCTAAGCGCGGAAGCAACGCCTTTTAATTTCGACCAGCTGGCACGTAAAGCATCTGACGGGCCCCCAATCAATCTTCTAGTTACTAAATACTGTGCATGCACGTAAGATACGATGTCAAAGGCGACTAGCACGCTATATGCAGCTGACAATAGTCAACTGTGCTGGCGTCGTCATTGCCTAACACGACAAAGCTCGCGCTGCATCGCTCCGCTGGGCAAGGCGCGGTGCAGAAAAAGAGCAAGCACTTGCGTCACATGCAGAGGGTGGTCCGCTTTCACAAGTGCGACTTCAACATTGGTTACCATTTTTTGTCGAATTGGTTTTCTAAAAAACTAAATGATTTATGCTTCCATATTTCGCACATATCACTTGTGTACCAACGAGCACACATGTTCAGTTTTATTGAAATCAGTAATTCTAAAAAAAATCTCATGTGCTTCTTTTTATTTCAAATCGCCAATGTATGCATAAGTATTCCGTGAGTTTATATTTACAATAGAAGCAACCTCAACGTTAGTGTCAACAGATTTCAATGTTTGCGCGGCATTCTTGAAAGAAAAGTCAACTTATCACTGCTGGCACCTCGAAAGTGCTTTAGAAGAGAGCTACAGGCCGTGCAGTATATATCACGGTACATCTATGTTACTACTCACGTTAATAGGGAAGAAATCAACGGACTAATTCCAAGGACTGACATATCGGCCCCCCAAACTACACCACTAGAGCACGGACAGTTTAGTGTTTGTCCCTTTGGTGTGCAGCGATTGCCAGCGGTGGTCCAAAAACAAGGCACAGTGAACAGTTGATACCAAAGCCTAAATAATGTTCTCAGATAGGGCAGATCACACCACGCATAATTAAGCACACTCGTCACTTATCGAATGAAGTTACGACACCGATCACACAATACTCGAATACAGTCGAAAACAACTGGCTACAAACAACAACACGCGCTACAATGCAACCTCATGCATTAACTATCCATTCGCACTCATGGACCAGAAAGTTCGTCAAGCGTATTCACACCAAATTTTGTGGAACAAAGCTTGAATGCTTCTCTTCAAAGAAACACTTCTCAAAGTCCAGCGCCGGTTGTCGTCTCGCTGCGTCTAAGGTTTCTTTTCGTGTCAGCAACTGAACCCACTACAATCGACTTCTGCGAAGAACAACTTCTGGCTGAACGGCCTTTGAGAAGGGTGGAAACGTTGCGGGTTTCCTCTTTAGCTATATTTATGTATTTTTAATGTCACAAGTGTTTCGTACGTAACCACATAATTAACTGTTTCGCGTCAATTTTTTGAAGTCAAGGAAACCATTATAAATGATGCGCTTAGTTCCAATATACCCCTTCGGCAGCATCACTAAAGCTATTTTAAATAAGACTGTGTTCATAAGTGCATACGCCAAATTAGGGCAACTTCCCTTGGTATACACGCTACTTTATTCAACCGTACAGCCGAAATGCTTTGCTTTCACTTTCAGCTGTTAATGAATCATAATATGCTTGCATGTATGCGTATGTTATAGATCACAATTCCTGCTGCCAATACGGAAATAATGAAGAGCACTTTTATACACCACTACACTAACCTAGATGAGTCAGTGAGAGGAAATGATACCATGAATATCTTGACATCCGAATTTCCTACGCATTGTATGCTTGTCTTTTGAGGACCATTATTTAAAGCTCCTTCAGCAGTTAGTTTGGGTGCACTGAATAAGACTGGCTATATTTAATATTCAAGAAGACAAAACCGTGTAGGTTACCTGCAAGAATACTCTGCACCAGCCGGTGCTAAACTATAGCAAACTATTTTAAGCTTCAATACATTCCAGTTAACACACGGCAAATGAATTCAATGGAAATAGGTGTGTGAGAGATTGTTCATATTGCTGCGTACTCAAATGTTCTTTTTTTTACGACAGGTTAATTGTGCTCTTCAGGTTATTCACATTCACCAATGCGGAGATGACCACAAATTGGAATGCCAAGGGGCGAGGTGACTAGCTTACGCATCACTTTACAGCGAAGATGATTAAAATTACTTGGCCTACGGTTAAGTGGCCGCCACAGTGCTTGCTCCTCTTGACTCATCAAACTAGGTTAGACGGGATCATCAAGTTTCCATGCATCATGCAAGAACAGGTTTAGGGAAATCAATGGAAATAAGTGAATCTATTCAGAATACTGGACAATGCTGTGGTGAATGCAGACTCTGCTCTTTCGCGAAATCTAGCACAATTTTATTACAACAAATCTGAATGAGATCTAGGGTACCTCCAGTACACAACAACAAACTGCGATATAGTATGACTGCTGCTGGTCTGCTTTACAACTGTATTGACCAAAAAAATATATTAACAAGCCCTTCCAGCAACACCAACGTTCTTAGTAAACCAATTTATTCTTGTGAGTTGGTTATGTTGGCCTAACGAATACAAATCATTACAAGAGGTGATGGTTTGTCGTAGCATAAATTATACAGCAGAGCTGCAATTTTGCTGCATATCATCACAGGTCAACAGAAAAATTACAGGGAAGAGCTAGAAGTATCACGAAAAGTTACGGTGTTATTTATATTCCCAAATTAAGACCTAATGATCATGTGTTCTTGTTCATCAGTGTGTACTTGATTAGCAGAAAACACGTACCACGGTAGCTATTATGAATATGTGCTTTTGAAATTTGAGGTAACGTTCACATAAAATTGCACACCATCTGCCGCTAAAGGAAACCATGTGTAGATGCGAAGCAGCGGGCGCTGAGTATTACACTGGTGGTCACATTGACGCTGGCACTCATCGTGGCATTGAGAAGGAGAGAAACCTGCAAGGAAGAAGCGAGGCACGCAACGATGGACCGATATTTCCTACTAGAACATACCAATCGTTGCTGGTAGGCAAAGAGAGACAGAAGACTGCGACTGCGCACCAACACCAGAAGTCCGCTTTTAGTTAACACGCACGCTGCGAATTTTCATTTTCCCCCAACGCACAGCAGAAATCTCTCTCCGGCACTACATTGTAGGTCAATATCGAGTGCCTATATGTAGGAGGTGGCCAGTGAACAGTTGTGCAAGTCGAGCGGTTCATATTTTCAATCAAGAAACTGACTAGCAGACGTTGTCTGCGTCGCGAGGCGAGATGGGTGTAGCGTAGCAAGCCACTTTTGATCGCCACTAGAACCCAGATAACCCTGATTTGGTCCCCGGTCAGCTCCAGACTTTTTTATCATGCATTTAGTTTATTTGCATAGTTCTCAATTTACCAGTCACGCATAACAAAATTGTTTTTCGCTCACAAGAACGACGCCGTCTCTAATGGCAGAATTTCTGCTAAACGAGCTTTTTAATGCTATCGCGTTAAAAGTAGCCAAATTTGGGCAAGGTAGCCAAAACAGGCCACACTGTCAAGCCATACAAAGATGCGTTATTTCTATGAACATCAGGACAGCAGACGTCGTAACAAAAGAGCCGTATTACTGAAACGAATGCACGTTTATTGTCTAAAGATGAAAGCTCTTGAGAAATGCAGTGCACGTCGCTTCATCAATGATGCTGAAAACGCTGGTTGTAGCGCGGCACCCCATGGCGCGGAAGTTGTTCACGGACCGGCAGGAGGCTGAAATAATAAAACAAAGTGAAGAAAAATTGGCATGGCACAGGATAGTTGAAATTATTTAAGGTTGTATAACAACGAGGGTGGAAGCAAATTGAAGCGATGCGCGCTAGCAGAAGCAACAGAAGGCTGCCTTCATATTATCAACGGTGCAGCCATGCAGTGAGCTACGTTACGCACACGCATGGTTTGTGCGCAATGCGTGTGGCGGTAGATGACACTGAATGGTGAAGAAGTAGCAGTGACAAGAGAGCATAAAACTATGCAGATGAAATAAGGAACAGCAGCCAAGAAATATCTGAAGTATTGTCAAGAGTGGGTGTAGCCTTGCAACGCACTTGTCAGTTGAAAAAGACGAGTTTTTGTAGTGCGCAGATACCGCGCAACAATGCCACGGGTGTAATGTGAGCGTTTAAAACACTTAATTTGAGGGGCTGGAACGTGGTGTTGTTTAGTGTACCTCTAGCGTTGGACAGAAGCTCAACCAGAAGCAAAATGAAAATTTGGTATTTGGCACAGCAAACAGCTATTAGGACGTCTGCGATTTCACCAAGTACGGGGCCAAGATGCAACGAGCAAACAATAGTAATGATCGGAGGCGAGCCCGTGCAAGAATGTTCATTCGCTGGATTTGATGTGACTGTCACATATACTGCGAATGAATACATATACTGTGAACATATTCTGTACATAACTACTTTTCGAGTGTAAGGTGATGCTTTTGACCAGTTTATCTGCTACTGTTGAACAAAATGTATGTGTTTGAATCTATTTTATTTTTGTTGTGTAGGATAAGGTACATAAATTTGACTCGGCATAGCATTGCACGACTAATTAGCGTGTGAAAGCTAATCTCCGCCAGTATTTGCGTACGGGAGTATGACAGTAACCAGATCGGGGTGACAGGCTGTCAAACCTTTAGATAAGCGAAGTAAGCTCAAGCAGTAGAAAGAGTTTATCAGCCACACGCACTAAAGCTTTGAAGACGGTCCAGCCCGACAAGCACCAACGTAATTACAGTAGCAAATGAAATGCAGTCACTTTACCGACTTTGGGTCCCCTCCTGTGGCAGACTTGGCGCTCGAGGCATGTCCTTTCTTTGAGGGAATGACCTTCGGAGTCTCCAAAGCTGATGTCGGACGTGTCTGTCCGATGTCGACACCGAAGCCGATGTCGGACGTGTCCGTCTTCGGGCTGCTGTCTGTCGAACTGCTGCTGTCGCTACCGCCGGGGCGAAACCCGATGGCGGATGCAACCATCCGCTCTGCAGAGGCCGAGGCTTTAGTGGCCAGTAAAGCAGCGCCGGCGAAGCCGGCTTCGCCAGCTTCTTCAGACTTCCGCCTCTGTTCCTCGAGCTCCTTCACACCCGGCTGCTCTTTCAACCATGCCGGTAGGTTTGCCCGGATCCTCTTCTGGCATTCCGGGCAGATTTGACAGTTGCACTGCTTGCAACCTGGGTTCATGCTTCCAGGATGAGTCCTTCAACGAATTGATTGCAGAATCAGAATACCTTGATATTGCAGCTAGTCACGTTAACCTTTGCGGGTTTCGCTAGGTGGTGCAATCGGTCACTCCAGCAAACTTGCGGCTCAATGCGCGTGAACTGACGACGAGTGCTGAAAACGGTGCAGTTGAAATACTCACTGCCTCACTAATGACGTAATGATGTATTCAACGCCTCAAAGCGGGAGCCGCAGATTGGTGGCTGTAATCATGTTTTTCAGTCATGTAAGAAAATCTAGATATGCTTTTAGAGCGAAAAGGAGCTGTAGGAAGTGGGCGTGTGCTTTCTAAGTTATTATTTTAATGGTGACAACGTATTTTTCTACCCTCATTGCCCTAAAGGCATGAGTTATTTAAATAAACGTGTCCAATATTTCACAAGTGCTTCTTGAGAACCTGTTTTACTTATATTCCGTCGACGTCGTCGGTAAATATAAATATTTTTGGCTAGTATTCACTTACTGCTCTTAACAAAATTAATCTCAACATTTATCTTAAAGGTCACCTTAATTATCTGCATGCCGTCACGGAAAAAATACAGAAGCAAAACAATACACTCTCTTACAAAGTATGCATCGCTAGTACTCACCGCGTCAGTCAAACTCTTCACGAATCTGTGTGCAGCCTTGCAGCCGAAGATTGCATAAATTATGGTAGCAGCATTATTCACACGAGAGCAACTGGTGAATGTGTGCCAATACTGTGGGATGAACTGTTTGGCCTCACACCTTTTAGTTCGTTCTTTAGCATTTTTTCCATCCTGGTATCAAGCGGGTAGTTCCTAACCATGTATACATGATCGCTTCATCGTCCTTGGCAACGCTAGAGAACTTGACAAGTGGCTCCGCTGATTCCGCCCGAAAAGACAGTTTTGAAAAAGTCCCTACAACTAATGAAATTGATCGCTTGCCCTTGGAGAAACAATTTTGCTGTGCAATATAGAGAAAGAAAGAAGAGCAGCACGTAAGTCATGGTCATAAGAAGTTAGGCTTGTACCCATTTTTTAGATTGTGGAAAGGCACCTGAATTTCTTCACAGTGCGTTGGTATAGTACCTTTCACATGAAATAAGAGGTCAAATGAAGCTTTAGAAAAATCAGCATGAATGAGTTTGGGTGCTAGTTCTGGCTTTGGGTGTAGGCCGGAAGTTTTTTTCGGGAGATTGTGAGCGAGAAATCAAGTTGTTCCTGATTGTAAAATTGTGAAAATGCATATGAATGAAATTATAAAAGCTTTTATGTCCAATTGGAGATTGAATCCAATTGTTTAGCGTGGAAAGCAGGTTTTTCTCTACGCAGCGAAAAGTTTGCTTAGAAATAGAGTGAAAAAAATTCTGTGCTTCGAAATCTAGTAAGAATGAGTCATGCCTTACCACCACAAGAATGCTGTATACAGACTTCAAACTAAAACATCTAATATCGTGGTATTAATGTTTGGTACAAGTGATCCGGCATCACAACTTGTGAATATCGTATTGACTTCGTGATTGCAAGCCGGCCACCATTTACCAAAGGCAAACATGTGACTGCCCGTATTCCTTTAAGAGGATGTAGTGGGTGCATATAGCAAGAAGAGCAGATTAGTCGAGTTGGTGCATTATGAAATTGTAACGGTATAACGCCGATCTGTTTGAGCGTAAAGAAAAAAAGCCCGTGAAGAAGGGAAATACAGACGAAAGGATGAGCGCTAAACTTCCAACGTTTGTTTATTGCATGGACCCGCAGCACATTATATAGCTCACCTGGTTGAACACGTGTACCGCGCACATTACAAAAAACTTTAAGCCTGTGGCGCCGCGCGCGTGACAGAAATTGTAGCTTTAGGCAGATCGTCACATTAAGAATTCCATTTTAGTACGTCACTGTCCACACCCACGAAAATCGAGCTTCTTTCAGATAAGGCTTCGGATGCCGTATTCACACACAGCTTCGCACATTTTGAGATAGACGTTCACTCAATAATTTCTAGTGTAAACTGGCTACGTCTGCGGCCTAAAATGACTTATTAGTCAAACAATAGAGTGCATGCACACGTCTTGCAACGCATAGGAAAAAAACTACCAGAACGAAGCATGTTTTTTTAAGATCGTCGCAGTGCTAGCGCAGGCGGCCATTGACACACCTACCAGTCGGTTTCATGAAAACCGCCTCGCACGACAGAGAGAGCAAGTACATGACAGCTACAGAACGTTCAACAAGCTTAGTCATAATATTTTTTCCACAGGTTGGTTGTGACTTCTTTGGATTTGTAAGCTTGCATGCATAGTCTCTTTAGTATTTCTGGAGCCGAGAACACTACGCGAACGTTTTCTTTCAGGGCTATCTTTTTCTCAATGAAGTGAAATGTTGTGCACATAAGTATGACACTGGCTTTTTTAGCATCGTGCTCACCATTGTCCTGCAGTTGTACCCGCCTACGTGAACCTTTCGAACAAACAGTCAGCCCCTAACTCCGAATAAAACCGCATATCCTGCCATGAATAAGCGCTTGCTTTGTCCTATAGAACTAGTAGTCATAGCGGGATGGCCTGACTTCATCAGGGCAATAAGCGCTCAACCTGTAGTCTGTATTACCCTTCTTCACTGGCTTCTTTTTTTGTTCACGCTCAAAAATAGTTGTTCTATACCCTTACGATTTCGTCATGCATAGCAAGATGAAAAACCTTTCATGTCGTCATTCATATCATGCTACCCATTACACATAATGCATATATGTGCGAAATTTTTACTCACACAAGCCACCAACTTTATAGATGACATTGTATTAATTCACAAGTGAAACTTCTCAAGTAACAGTCCACCGCGGTGGGTTAGTTGCTAAGGGTTTGGGCTGCTAACCCGAAGGTCGCTGGTTAAATCCCAGCAACGGAATACGCATTTCAGTAAAGACGAAATAGTAGAGGACCATGTACTGTCCGATGTCAGTTCACAATAAAGAGCACAAGATGGTCTCAATTTTTGGAATTCTTCATTACAGCGTCTCTCATTATCATATCGCGGTTAGCACGTATAAAACCCTATACAATATTGAAGTTCTTGAGTAATTTCAAACGAATAAACTATTAACTATGATGCTGAATTCGCGTTAGCTGTAGGATTACGGCACCGTGCTCAGCCCTAAAAGATGGAACTTCGGGGTTCAGACTTTTTTTGTCCGCCATTATACCTATCTGCCACGTAATCATTAACGAACACATGTACCACCATGTCGGATCTCAACCAAGAGGTGAAAACCTGCAAGGGCACACGTCACTATACCCACCCTGTTGCAGACCCTTAAGTCTGTAATAGTTGAACGCGAACCTTTTATAGTTAAACGCGACAGCGATATCCTGTCCCTAGTGCTTTGAAAGTGGCTTGTGCCACTGACGCTTCCATTTATGGCTGCCATATGTGTAATGACTATCATGCTTGAGACCGTGGACAATCATGCGCGTGAAATCTTTTCGAACTTGCAGTGTGACCACTACGGGGCCGAAAAATAATACGCGCCCAAAGTATTGTGTGCCTCAATTGAGGTAGTTTGGTGATTCCAACCTCGGCAATAAGAACTGCTTGTATTTCCAGACGCGCTTAACTTTATAATTATGCAAAATTGGGCTTCAGCTAAAACGGTCAGCAGCACTTGGTGCAGGCCGTGTCACAATATTCGGAAGCTTCACGAATGTTTCGAATAACGCATAAATAACCAGTGACATCGCAGAATACTTTCGAGCATTCATGTGTAGAAGACGACGAGCTGCTTTGACAATCACGATCCACCCGGTACACTGAGCAGCCGATTGTCGCTAAGTGTGCCGGCTGCAATACATGTAAGCACTTTTAGCACTAAACGTCTGAGCAGAAGTTGATATGTGGACATGTGGGGTTTAAAGTCCTAAAACCACCATATGATTGTGAGAGACGCCGTACAGGAGGGCTCCGTAAATTTCGACTACCGGTGGTTCTTTACATGCACCCAAATCTGAGCACACGGGCCTACAAAAGTTTCGCCTGTACCGAAGATGAAGCCTCCGCCGCCGGGATTTGATCCCGCGAACTGCAGTTCAGCAGCCGAGTACTTGAGCTTTTAGACCACCGCGGCGGGGCTTCTGGGCACAAGTTCGCCCAATCAAGGCTATTTCAGGACGTGACCACTCTAGTACTTGACGTCCAGATGGCGCGCGCGATGCAGCCAGGTTTAACATTACCATCTCCGAATTAGCCTAGTCAGGTGACGGCGAGTTAACTCGCTCTGATAGTGGCCAAAATAAGGTTGTTTTACTCACTCCCAATAACCAAATCGTGTGCACCTACCTGTGCACATATAACTTTTCTGAGAACTATTCGAAGGTACAGAATATAAAATACACGCTCCAATTTAAGTAACGCTACCCTTCCTTCCTCGGATCTTAAAAACAGTTCTGCTTGTTTTGGTCATCTCACTTTTTCGCAAATACACTACCACCGGTCCGAAAGATATCCACAGTATATATACGGATCCTCTCGCTGTGCCTCAAATTTTCGTTCGCTGCTTTTTTTTCATAAAATTGTTCTTCAGAAAATTGCCAGATTCCTTAATCTTCGCTTTTAAGACTTGTAATTGATAGCAACATCCTGTTCCTAGAGCGTAGAAAATGGCTTGTTACAGTAAGCTTTCCACGTATGGCTCCATTCTGTGTAAGTTGTAGCATGTTTTAAACCAAGCAGTTACGCGCTTGAAGTTTTTTTTCCAACGTGCAATGTACCTACTAAGTGGCCTAAACAATGGGCGCAGTAACGTGTGTGCCTTTTGTAGGCGGTGGCCTGCTGCGGGAGTGCACTGAAGCGGGAGTGCAATCAGCCTGGCTTTATATCGTGATCGCGTTGTAACAATTACATCTTTGCACCCTCCTGTGAGCAATGTGCAGGGTCTACCGTATCCACGGCCAACACCTATATATTATTCAAGATGTCATAGCAGCTGATGTTTGAGATAAAATACGGAAATGTATTGTGTTCATCGACAAGATGGTCATCCATCGTATAATATAGGAATTATTTAGGGAACAAACATTTCAGTTCTACTGGCTTGAATATTAACGATGCGTTCATATTTGATACAGTCGGCCTTGCATATTGCATGATGTCCAATGGTCGTTCGGGAATCCTATAGACCAATTCCACCAGACTTGCGTCACGAAAATGCGGTGGCGCTGTCTTGGTAGGCAAAAGGCGCTTTGCCTACCGCAGTTTCTGCTAGGTTCTCAATGGTGCATGTGGTGTTCTCAGTCAAGCAACGAAAAAAAAAACGGTATGCTTTCGAGCTGCATTGCGATTGGATGCGAGTCGCGTCTCACAACTTAGTTTTGTTTGTTGGCCCACATCGCAGCCTTCAGTGCTTAGGGCTTTCACAACGCTTATGGCGTCTCACAACGTCGTTTTGTTAGCGCACATCAGAGCCCGCAGTGCTTATGACGGAAGTTACGTGCGAACGTTGCTATAATTTTATCCATGTCGACGTCGGCCTACTTGTGTTTACAAATATGGAATGGGGCTATAATTTTGTTAAAGCTCACCACCTTCCTGCTGCAGAATTTTCTACTAGGCGCTTGCTTGCCGGTGACTATTTATATAGGAATAACCTCTCAAGCCAACTGATCTTAAGGCAATTTCAATTTGCTGTAAGTGGTAGTATTGGTCTCGTACGTACTGTTAAATTTTACAAGTATAAATGCGTCCATTTATAATGACCTCTTCAGTCGGACTGGGTTCCTGTAAGAAAAACACATTTTAGGCTTCTTAGTCATACATCTAAATGTTCCTGCACTAGTCTGATATTGCTGCTTCATGAAACGGTAAGACTCCGTGAGTCATGCAAATGCACTGTGCAACACCAACTCTTAAAGGCCGCTAATGGCCTTAGACCTCAATCAATACAGCTGTTTATCTGGTGTTTTCCTTTAACTCAACTGCCAGTCTTGCGTACGTTAATTCATTTGAAATTTTTTTTCTTGTTCTTCACTTTCATTAAAATTTCACGCCTAGTGCTGTTCTGCTACTCACAAACATTCGCTTCATACGTAATGCTTTGCAGGACTCCATTATGTACCCACCATGTCTCTTACAGTTGTAAGGTTCAGGTATACTTTAGTAGCTTACCACTTGTGTGACGCGTTTTTTTTACTATTCTTACAATGGAGAACACTTTCCGGCTTGTACACCAAGAAAAACATTTAGCCTTTTTTTCGTAAATCTTTCTAAAAATTATAACTTACATTAGCAGCACTTTCATATTTGTGACGACACTCCATTGAATAACACCGAAAATTAATTTTTGTATCTTTCAGGAAGCTTCTTGAATCAATGAACTTAATTTATTGGGCACCATATATACATATACGACTCCACAATTTAGTGCCTCCTGGCTTAGGGGTAAGGCAGTGGCGCAGTGGGTGGTCGTCGAAGCATCGTAGTAGTCGATGTACGTCAAGTTCTTCAAAGACCATCAAGGGGCTGAAATGGCATGGGAAATAGAACACTTCAATAACGGCACAGCATTGACATAAAGCAAAACATGTAAACCACCAGGCATTAGTAATTGTGTTAGGCTTTAGTCTTGTTATGCATGAAGACCAGAAGACGATTGACTAAGGAAGCCTACGTTCGTCCCATTAAGAATACGATAAGTTTACACCAATCATCCAACAAGGACGAAACAAAAAGAAGGACTGCAAAGACACAGAGACAGCTCCAGTGTTCATGCCATTCTTAATTAGTTCTTGTTCCCTTTAATGTGGTAAAAACATGCCCGAGCCTACAAGCTGTAATACTAATGGCACCGTTGTGTTAACAGTGAGAAATGGGTCTTCAACCACGCGTTGTTCTTTGAAGTCGAAAATATGTGAATAGATAACACGACTGATTGCTCGTTTGCTTGCGACTGTATGAGCTAGGAAACTCGTCTTGACGCAATAATGCATCCGCAGATGCCGTGGCGAAGCTACAGTGCATTGTAGCTGGGGTGCTAGCTCAGATTATATTTTACTAGCGGGATATTTATTCAGAATACTGTTCACCATACGGCCTTTACAGATTGGGTTGTAAGGCAGCGCACACACGCATAAAAGTGAAAGTTAAAACAAAAAGTACATTAATGGAATATCAAAATACATGTATGCTCACAAATCTAAACAGTAATTATCAAAACGTCAACAGAGTTTCACAAAGCCAAGTTAGTTGCCGAGCCCAAAGAAAGAACAAATCAGCGATTGAGGGAGCAATATTTTCAATGAGGTCTGTAACTTATGCTACGTGACAAAAAAGGAAAAAGAGAAAGCAAGTAGAAGTATTCCGCACACACCGAAGTGTTCATATGTGCACACCGACTTAAACTCGTCGCCATGATGTGCTTGAAGCCACAGTAGAAGTATGTATGCGCTTCTTAATGCGTTAGCGTCCAATGAAGAATGAGCGTTGAGATAGGCAGCACTTTCAGATGACGGTCATGCTTTTCCTGTGACGCGCTGAATGTTCGAGGCGCACAGACCGATGCTTACAGGCATTGGAAAGTTTACGTCACACATCTGCACATAAAGTTTTACACTGTAGCTGACTGTAACACAAAACTTGTGAACAAAATTATGCTGGGAATCTCAGCATTACTTTCGTTCTCATGTTTTTGTCTTGGATAGGTGTGCAAAACAAACAACCAAGAGGTGACTGCACAAGCCCTCCGTAGCGTTTATAGACTTCTTTTTTACATACTGGCAGTCCCATAACGAATAGTCGCGGCGCAATCCTCGGGACCATGGGAGCACGTGGCTTATGACACCACGGAGCTTATGGCTGTTTGCGAAGCCGGAGGGCACGTAAGTACACTATTCGGATCCCTCTACCAGCCAGCCTGCAGCATGCTTGTTCATGGTTTAAAGTGTGCGCACACCACAACGCCAAGGAAAGCCACGGTGCCACTGCCAAATTCACAGCAGAAGCGCCGAGAGATTTGTTCAAGTGTATAGCCTATTTGTGATGGTGAGTCCAGCCTCTCAGTTTACGGGGAACGATTACTTAAGGCGAAAACAATAGAGGGGGGATACTATATCTTGTTTTAGGTAGTTAACACTCACAATAATTTCATCACAGCTACAAGGGCCAGAGTAGAGGCTGTGGCCTCAAGCTAGCCCTCCTTGCTGTGATGAAAGTAACTATATATAGTTGGCTTTATATACTTGACACTCGCGATGCACAGAAAAGAAGACACAAGAAGGCACTTGTGTGTTCGCACTCATGTGTGTCCTACCTGTGCCTCTATGTGTCTTGTTTCGTGTGCAGTTCAGAGCGTTGCGAATGTGATTCATCACAGCTTAAATGCAGCTGATTTGTGCTCACAACGGTCGCACTCATTTCTGCTAATCAGTGACAGGACGTGGAAGACAGACACTGGAGGGAGGGGGATGGGAGCCACGAGACTAACTTTGGAGGTTAGGGTACGGTGCCTACTGATTGCCCCTCAATTTGTCGGAGTTTTCGGTTTGGTCCAGCGTCGAGGACAAATAGTTTCTGGTCCGAGGTCGAGGACGAATTGTTTGGCAGGTTGCAGGCCTATTTTTCTTCGGTATGCATTGCATTGTAGCATTTTTCTACAAACTAGCTCACGCCAACTTCCTTCAAGATAATATGCAAGAGCGCAGAATATGCGTACCGAGTACGCAAAAGAACTTCAACGCGCATAATTTCAGTGATTGAAAGCTGCTGGGCAATCTTATCAGAATTGTGTCTGCAAAAACTGACCCAAAGCGCGTTTGACGTGCTTTGCTTAGGACCATCTGCCAAGAAGACGTCTAGTGCACCGCCCACTGACACTGCAAGCTAGGCATTTTTATCCAGACGCCATCGCTAGTTGTTTTCCTCAGTGACTGCCCAATCGGCATCTTGCGCTTTTTTGGGGTTTCTGCTGCGATCACTATTCGAAAGGTACCCGTGCTTAAAACATAAAAACATAAAACAAAAAGGTACCCGTGCTTACTGCGCGGCTTGTACTTCACGAGAATTCTTCAGAAAGTACCAAAGTGCTGTTATGCACTACCATGACCTATGTGAACTTTATCGCAATTATGGCACCACACAAGTGGTTGGTTGTACTATAGCGTGATATTCTAACGTTGTGATCGCAAACCGACCTCAGCAAGTGAGCCTAAGGACTAACATTGTGTCCGGAAAGGGCGGAGCAGTGAAGTAAATGTTGAAAGAGAGGAGAGAGTCATTGAAGGGCGTTTAAGACGCAGTTGCCGTTCAACGAAACACTTTTCCTATATGTCAAATTTGAAACACTTTTGAACGATGTTCGGCATCTCAATTAGAGCAACATATTGATACCGACCCTCTAGGATCATAATATCGACACACCGATTGTGAAATGGATATATTTTGTACCTTAGTTATGTTTCAACTCACGTTATGCCATTTGGTGCCTTACGAAGGGTATGCCTGAGGCCAAAACTGCCACTGGAGGTAACCCTATCAAGATGGACAGATATGTGGTGTCTAACGTCCCAAATTTATCAAGCCCTACCCATAACCCTATCAAAGCCTTCCTAAACGCAATAAGCGCGAAGGAAATCTGTGTAAAACTTAGCAGCGTCACAATTTTTTCGCTTGTGAAAAGCTATGAAACGTATCGTATTGCAATAGGGCAGCTGAATATGAACGTGAAAAAAATACGCAACAGAGACTTCAGTCGGCAACAGAGAAGCAGGGAAACACAGACAACGGGATCAGTGACACAGGGTGAGTGCTGTTCAGGGCTCATCGCGTGGTCTGTATTTTTCTTCTTCACTGTAGCATGTTTTCTTGCTCAAAATGAGATGAACTGAAGCAGTATAATATTATAATGCACTAGCCGCCCAATCATTTGTATTTGTCACCTAAAATCACTTACCTTATCAATACTTCCAGAATCAACAGCTTGAGAAGGGCTTGATAGGGGATCTATTGGAAAGTCTCCGTCATCCACCTGGGAGACAGAAGTGTCCCCATCTTCAGAAATGGATTTTCCGGAACAGCAGCCAACAACGGACGTGTCAGTTTTTGAGCCGCTGTCCGTCGACTCGACGCTGTCCAATTTACATTCCAGAAGGCGATAAGCGTACGCATGAACCGCATCGGCAGCTTCCGAGTATTTAGCCGCAAGAAGAGGGACCCCCGAAAAGCCGGCTTCTCTGGCTGCTTCGGGCTTGCAATTCTGATCCTCGACCTCAGTCGAGAAAGGCTGCTCCTGCAGCCACAGTCTCACCTTAGCGCGAATAATATTCTCGCACTCGGGACACAGCATGCAGCCACACTGCTTTCGGTTGGATTCCATCTTTCTGAGAATTGGGTGTTCTCAAACTGGCTTCGAGACAGTGGCCAAATTAGGTTTGCTGCATTTTGCGTTGGGGTCGCTAGACGGCGCGGCAGTTGGCTCGCACGTGTATGTGGCTCAGCTGCAGGGCGAGACGCTTTCTCGTATGTCATGGTTCCACAATTTACGTCCTAAAGAATTCAGCTATCTCAGCCATCTCAGCAAGTTGAAGGAATGATCACCTGATTCTATTAGCACAAGATATTCTGAAGGATATGGGTATGGCAGCTCTCCTTCGTCTGAATTGCCTATCTGGTTGAAAACGCACGTATAAATGACTCAAACACATTTATAATTGTGCCTAAATTGCTACGCTAAGTGCATATCTTCAGAACTTGCCTGGCTCACATTGCGATATTGTTTACATGCCCGATAGTTGCACATCCTTAAAAACTTTAAAAATTTCGCGCAACAATTAATAAGAAGATTACTTTTGCTTCATCTTTCTGAAAAGATCCTGGCTCACATGTCTGTAAAGAAATGTCGTTAGTGACCGGCAGTCATTAGCAAACAGCATTAACAGATGACTGTGTATTGCGCGCTTGCATTTCTGTATCCGATCTCGTTATTATTGGCTGATAGTAGGCTAGAAGTACTACTAACGTCAACTCATGTGCGATATTGATGAACAGTTCAAGGGTATTTGCTATACGAGTATTTGACATTGGAGGTATCCGTTGCGTGAGGAATTTGTTCAGCTTCGCACCAGACCCTGGAACCAAATAGCAAAACGATAGAGTGCGTAGTCGATAGCGACGTCACACACATGCACGCACGACCGTTCAATGCTGTTAAAGTTTACAGAATCAGAATACAAATGAAGATGAATAAAAAAACGGGATTCGGGCTTTCGGTTTCTGATACCACAGCACGATCGTTTTATATGTGTCCTAGGCTCATGCTCGCTGGGTACGAACATAAATATTGTGAATATGCCAGATGGTGAAACAATATGTGGTTTTGACAGGTATAGCTTGAAGGCCAGAGCTGTCAATTATGTCTTTCTCGTGTTATTTCTTGTACTTTTTTCTCGTGTGTGCATATAAATTATGTGCTATTCGCAGTAGTCTATCATGCACTGCTTGGCGCACAGTTCAAAGCACATGTTCGAACAAAATGTTGTGTAGTGTAAAGTCCATGCCGGCATTTCACTGGCTAGAATAACGCTATGATTATACGACACAAATTCGTGGGAAGGACCAAATAATTTAAACCACCGGTGTTCCTTTGACGTACCCAGGTAGCTAAGCAAACGTGTTTCCTGCGTGTTGTTGCGGTATAGTTGAGCACGCCTAGGTTGTAAATTTGCAGTAGTCTATCATGCACTGCTTGGCGCACAGTTCGAAGCACAAGTTCGAACAAAATGTCGTGTAGTGTAAAGTCCATGCCGGGATTTCACTGGCTAGAATAACGCTATGAGTATATGACACAAATTCGTGGTAAAGGACCAAATAATTTAAACCACCGGTGTTCTTTGACGTACACGGGTTGCTAAGCAAACGTGTTTCCTGCGTGTTGTTGCGGTATAGTTGAGCCCGCCTAGGTTGTAAATTTGCAGTAGTCTATCATGCTCGGCTTGGCGCACAGTTCGAAGCACAAGTTCGAACAAAATGTTGTGTAGTGTAAAGTCCATGCCGGGATTTCACTGGCTAGAATAACGCTATGATTATACGACACAAATTCGTGAAGAAGGACCAAATATTTTAAACCACCGGTGTTCCTTTGACGTACACAGGTTGCTAAGCAAACGTGTTTCGTGTGTGTTGTTGCGGTATAGTTGAGCGCGCCTAGGTTGTAAATTAAAACGACATAGTAAAGTTAAGAAACACAATTACAACAAACTATTCTGTACATCAATCTTAACACGTGGGTTTCCTACACTTTGATCACTCCTATACTTACGGCCGCTATGGCCATAAATCCAATCAATAACTTAATATTATGTGGCAGTTACCACATGCTATACCACAACTGGTGTTCATGAATTCAATTTATGCATGCGGGCTTTTTTCAGTTGTCACGCTGTTTTCATCGAATAACAGTCAGTGGGGCATGATTATCAAGTGTTGGCGGACACAATTCTTTCTTTTTCTGTTTTTGACTTGTTGCTTACGGATCGCTTTGACTACTGTTCTCATAGTTACCTAAGGAGCGCCAGTTCAAAACACCGTGGTTTTACCGTAATTCCACGCCTGCCCCCTTGCGAGGAGCGCACGGGAATTTTTTTGAATGTGTTCACCTTCCACCAACAGATGGCGAAACTGCCCGCGCTATGAAGTCTATACGCGGGGCCTTTGAGAGTTTTCTACGAAGGTACCTAACTTGAAGAGCTCCTAATGATGAATCTAAGACATTAAAGCAAAAGACTCGAAACGCAAATTATTCTGCCATATTCATACTTATTCACCTAATCACTTATTTATATATTTATTCAGTTTAGAAGAGTTGGTGAAAAAGGAATCAGGTATTTAAAGAAATTCTAAAACAGAGCAGAATAAAATGAACGCTAATATTTTTGGTTAAGAATACGCAATAGCTACTAGCCACGGTAATGTTGTAGTTATGGGGCTCGAATGATGACGCCAAGGTGACCAGTTCATGTCTAGGTCATGGTGGCCAGATTTCCATTGCCGATCAATGCGCTTGAGGCACGCATACTTTGTCTTAGGTTCACGTTTCTAAACCTGAGGTGGTTCAAGTTTGTGGAGCTGTCCACTACAGCGCTTTTTCATCGTGCTGCCCGCGTGCTTTCGGCACGTTAGGCAACATAGATAATTAACGGTATTAGATGACACCAGCAAGCCCAAAAATGACCAAGTTTAACGTGCACACTGTAAAGCATTCCACATTGGAAAGGAGCGGGCAGAACTGTATTTGCACGTTTTCGTTCTGTGAAGAAAAAGAGACATGCTCAACTCAATGACTGCTCATTGTAGGTTTAGTGCGTAATATGGATGCAAAAATAGGGGCGCATTACAGAACAGTAGGCAGAATGACAACGCGCCAGTATTTTTTTTTATCTCTAGACCCTGTTACGTACTGTACTCCTCCACGTGTTTTAAATGAGAGCATTTCTTAGCCACACAATTCCCCCACTGCGCATGCTCGGCTCGCCTCCTGCCTCATCTCGTCTCTCTCAAACGCGGGTCGCGTATATTTAGGGTGTCCCACGTAACTTGAGCCAGAGTAAAAAAAATGCCAGAACACGTAATTACGACGCGAGTAAATGCATGTTGCTCACCGTAGCCTGGAGTTAGTCAGGCTATGTTTTGTGTTCTCAAATATTCTTTATTTAGGCCCGTTTCATTACCTAACTTTTCAAGGAATGAAGATGGATAAAATGTTTCAATGAGAAAGTTGTAGATTGGTTTGCAAAACGTCCAAATAGATAGTTTTGAACTTTATATCTGTTAAGTATTAGTGTTTGTTAGCTAATTACAAATTTCCGAGAAACACAAGAGATACCACGTGACAAACCCGCTCTGGCGATAACCGCTGTGACTGCTTATCGCTGTCATGAACTGTTGTGAGGGAAGCGTGTTGTTTGTAGGCCGAACGTTAGGGAGCACTAGAATCACCGTGCGCACTGACGTGCGTGCGGGTTTGTCACGTGGATTTTTTTTTAATTCGCGGGCATTTGTATTTAACAAAAAAACACGAATACTTTCTCATAAAAACTTGTTATCCTTCTTCGTTACTTCAAAAGTTAGGTAAATAAACATATCCAGTAAACAATATTTGAGAACAGAAACGTACTCTGAATAACTCGAGGCAACGGTGAGCAACGTGCGTTTACTTCATAGTTGAAAATTTTGTTGAAGCGCACTAAACAACGGACGAACAGAAAAGGTTGACACGGTCTTCAGTGCGCTTCAACAAAATTTTCAATTTTGAACGTAATCCAACTGGCCCAACTTTCCATGTTGTTGCATTTGGTGGCCTCGTAAATGCGTGGTCTGGACATATTTTTAAACTCTGGCTAAATTTACGTGGGACACCTTGTATAAGCGGTGATGCGCGCGTTTGGAATTCTTTCAAGGGCGTCTCTTCTCCGTCCAATAGAACGACGGCACTAAGCAACAAAGACACGCTTTAACTTCACACTCCTTGCCTTCGCTTCTCCTTCATTCAATGAGTAAGAAAGCTAAAGACGAAATAACAATGAAGCATCCGATAACGCAACATTTACGCAATACCTTCACCATTCTTTGGTGCATTTATTTGCGTTTTAACTGTGGGTAAATGCGGGTGCCAATATTATTTTTTTCAATCAGAATGAACCATTACAAACTAACTAAAATGGCTGCTTTGCCACAATACACTAGCCTGCATCTTACAGTTCCTAAGTAGAGATAATTGTTGAGTGTAATTTAGAGTTAAACGCTAGAGCAAACTTGGAAGGTTCCGCGAAACGATGAGGAAAGAAACTGTTAAGCTGAAGGCTACGAACATGAAAACTGCGTGAATAATACGTGCCGTAGTGACGACAAATGGGGCGTACAACTTCTGGACCGGTTCATTTGTGCCGATTTCAGATATTTGAGATACGTACTGATATTCATTCACTCAAGACATCGTGCAATGGAACAATTACAAAAATAAAAAAGCTGCTGTTCATAATAGGTAACTACAAGTAAAGTGCTGAACAAGTAGCTCTCGTTTATATGTTAGGGTTCAGTCATTGATGATGTTCAAGCAGAGGTAATGATAGAAGAGCACAGGTACGTGCAGTGACGTTAGTTTGTGTGGTGTGACAAGCGTTTTCGTGAGAGTGCTATCCTTAAAAAAAACCTACAAATGGAATTGTCAAGAGCTCACAGCTGCTGTGCAAGTTCGCTCGCGTTCTCTTTCATGTAGTATCTGAGTCAAAAACGCGGTTCATTGGGCGTGGGTTTTAAACCCGCGCCTTCCGAAATTTTAGCATTCTGTTTTCGTGTATATAGTAGAGGTTTACACAAAGATCCGGTGAACTTCCATAAATGTGATTCCGCCAGGGTGGATCCGTAGTTTCGGTGCTAAGGGCTGCCGA